AAGTCTTAAATATTTTAGAAGAGTGTCGGAGTTTGAATATGTAAATATTAATGTAATAAAGGCAGGTAACACTTGTCACATGTAAAGAAAAAGTTTTAGTTTAGAATATAAAGAATACCTGTTTGAATTTTATATAAAAAGATAGTTTCTGTTTTTAGTACTTCTATTCTAGACGCAGATAGTGTAACATCTTTGGCTCTTTATAAACATTAATTATTGTTCTTTTTAAAATAGACCCTCACCACCAGAGCTCAGTCTTCTTAAAAGATTAGAACCATCCAACAGAGAGGTATGAATATGAGTAAAAAGGTGTTTAAATTCAGTTCTGCTGATATAATAAAGTTCATTGAGATTTATCGCAGTCATGAGTGTTTATGGGATACCGAAAATGTAAATTATAAGAACCGATGCACGTAATGCTGCAGCATTTTCACAGGAATTTGAAGTTGACGGTTTCGGACCGAAGGAAATAACAAACAAAATAAAAAATTTAGACTAAATTAATTTTTAATTTATTTAATTTAATTTAACACACCCTCACTCACTGCACTCATGTTTGCCAATGAAGAGATAATTGCGTACAAGAATTGCGTATGAAATTATTGTACGTGCTGTTTACATCAATAATAGTTTTGAAAGGAAACTTTTCCCATTGATCAAGAATGTTACGTTTTGTTTAGACTATGCAATTCATTTATTGCGTTGATATAATTGTATGCTACAGGCAAGAAAATGGCATCGTGTAAATGGGCCTTAATTAAAGATTTAAGTTGGCGCCTGGTGGTGCCGGTGGCTGCTGCTTTCCTCAACGAACAAACATCGCAATACAGCGAGGACTTGAATTTCCTATTATACAATGCCACCCTTTTAAAATTTATTTTAATTTTATTAATTTTTAATTATTAATATTACCATGTAAGTAAAGAATATTGTAAATACTGTATATTTGTGTGTCAGTAATTAGTTTATTAACAAGCATATTATACAATTGAGAATTATTGTATTTATTTATAAGTTCTAAATCACGTGTATGCATATAATTATACATGAAAATATGACATCACTAATTTTACACACATACACATCAAAAATTAAACAAGCAACCACAAAATAAAAACTAAATAAAAACTTAAACCTCATTAAGCGCTTGATAAACGTAAAAATTACGGTAAGTTGGAAGATTGTTATAAAATATACAAAACTTTCACCAATGTTAGTAATAAAATTGTAAGAGCGACTTCACTTGTCCATTAAGAGTAGAAGGTACAGAGACTTGTAGTTCTAGTAACTCTAGGATTACAAAGAAAGGAAAATGCAAGACGGTTAGTAAGTATTAAAGTTAAATATTTTATACAAATAAACCGGATCAATGAAGTCACGTCGGAGTTTTAGATTATCTAACTTGAAATATTCCAAACGAGCCTTGTACGTTTGCAATCAAGTGTAGACGATTGCAAAGCTTTCTAAGGAAATGTTTTTTTGTTTTGTAACGAGTAACTGTAAAATTTCATATTTTTTTATTTATTTAGTTATCAAGCCCACGACATCACAACAGTCCTAAATCAAACAAAATCTTACATCCAAAATGTGCGACAATCAACGCAAGCATAAATTTCTCAAAAAAAATCAAATAGAAATTAAAAAAAAAATACAACTATCTTATATAAATATCTAATATATATATATATTTCGCCTTATTGTACGTTTGTAAAAAAAAAACTACACTAAGAATAGAAAAAAATTACTCTAATCATTTTTCCCTAACGCGTCAAAAGAAGTATAGCTTCAAAAAAAACTAAAATGTTGACTATAGCTTACTTCAGGGTGTCGGTTTTTTGTGACGATGTGCGCGCGCATCGTAAAAAGTTACTCTCATCAATTTTCCCTAACGCGCCAAAAGAAGTATAACTTGAAAAATAAGAATATACGACGTAAGTTTTATTTTAGGCCAACCTAGTGGCTTCAGCGTGACTCTTATCCCTGAGGTCGTAGGTTCGATGTGCACCAATTGACTTTCTTTCTATGTGCGCATTTAACATTCGCTCGTACGAAGGAAAACATCGTGATGAATGGCTTAGACCCAAAAATTCGGCATGTGTCTGGCACAGGAGGCTGCTATAAGTCAAATGATCATGAAACACATACAGAAATCTGAGGCCCAGACCTGAAAAGGTAGCGCCACTGATTTATATTATTTTTATATAGTGAACGAATCCTCTACATACCTGTACATTGTGTTACCTATTTCATATTGGCAATTAAAAAGAGTGGCGGAGAGTTTATTGCCAGTTCTTCTCTTCCGTTCTACACCCTTGATTTGAGAACTGGCAATAAATGTAAAATTGGAATCATTTAATGTATATTTCTTTTTTGACGTTCATAAGTGTACATTGTGCTATTCACCTATATGAATAAATGATTTTTGACTTTTGATTTCCAAACCAATTCGACATAAGCGGGCCATAGACGGACCGCTTGTTGCAGTCAAGACCGACTGCAATATGCGGTTTGCTCAGGAACTGCTCGAGCGGTCCGTGTATTGCGGATATGAATTTAGTATGGAAACTGCAGATCACCGCGCGGTGATCGCATATTGCAGTCGGTCTTGACTGCAACATGCGGTCCGTCTATGGCCCGCTTAAGGGTCCTTAAAGAAAAGAGCGCACCAATTCTTAAAAGGCCGGCAACGCACTCGCGAGCCCTCTGGCATTGAGAGTGTCCATGGGCGGCGGTATCACTTAACATCACGGTAAAAAGATGATGTTTTACACGTGTTAAATATTGAATAATTTCCTCCGGAAAGATTAAAATATTAACATTGATTTTGGGTGTCATGATTATATTAATCAATTAATACCTTTATCAAATGATATCGAAGAATCACGACCGTTATAAATTTTTGTACTTCGAAATATCAACAGTTTTGCACGAGAAACTATGATAGGTAAGCATTTTCTTTACATTATATATTGTAACATTTGTGGTAAAATCTCTGGATCTGCAGGACTGATTTAGTCAATTCTTTTACCAGTAGATAGCTACATTATTCGTGCTATAATAACCCAAGAAATGAAAAGACTTTCTCGTGGTATTCGGGAAGAGAAAATGGTCGAATGAAAACGTTTTAATGAGAGTTATATGGAACCAGCTGAAGTATTTCCGAACCTATACGACTAAGGGTCCTTCAAAAGGCCGTCAACGCACTCGCGAGCCCTCTAGCATTGAGTATCCATAGGCGACAGGTATTTCCCAACCAATTCTCGACTTAGGGTCATTCATGAGCGTACCGATTCTTAAAAGGCCGTCAACGCACTCGGGAGCACTTTGGCATCAATGTCGAGAGTGTCAAAGGGCGGCGGTATCACTTAATGATTCACGAGGAAGCTTGAGATATATAATCGTGTGGCTTTTTCATCAGTCACACCCTTCAACTCTGAAGGTCGTGTTAGTGGCGCCGAACAACTTCCTCCACTCTTCTCTTTCTTCAGCAAGCCTCTGCGCCTGGATGGTTAGACCCGTGAACCTTAACTTGATCGACCCAGCTAGTAGGGGATCGGCCTCGAGGTCTGGTGCCCTCCACACTGCCAGTCACGAGGAGATTTTGCTAGGCTTTCTGGATCGGCGTGTCCTAAAATCTCAGGAAAAACCTGTATCCGTCTTAGTATGGTTTTCTTAGCTGTTCAGGGAATCCTATGCATCTGGCTCCAACACCACATTTCCAGAGCATCTATTTTTCTATTTTTCTATAAAGGAAAATCGGAAAGTTATTTTTAAGGAAATATTCCGGTCCTTCCATAAATACAATATCCTGTTTCAAGATATCGTGGTGCAGAGTAATAGTTTATCAATTTATTGTAAAAAAGAAAGTTGTAGAAAGATTGATTACTTAATCAGCCATTTTAATTATTATTAAGGCAATGAATCGGTGGACATTTTCAGCAGCTCCATGGAGACCTTTCGCCGACTGTTTTTGGGTACCTTGCTGTGTTAATTATTTACTATCATTTCTATATAATTACGTTTGTGTATATTCGCTGATCGGCGGACCCATGGGACTTCGACAAAGAGTCCCCTCGTGAGCTGCGATATTGTGAGCTACTGAGGAAGTTGCATGAATCTGGTCTGGTGCCTTCTTAAGTTCTCATGACATTTTATTGTCTGTATCCTTTTTTTAACCTCGTTGTAACATTATTTTATAGAACAGGGGCCACCCGGCAGGAGGTTCACCTGATGTTAAGTGGTACAACCTTCCCATGGACACTCTCAATGCCACGATGGCTGGATGATGGGCACACAAGCACGTTGCCGGCCTTTCTAGAATTGGTACGCTCTTTTGTTGAAGGACCCTAAGTCGAATTGGTTCGGAAATACTTCTGTGGCAGCTGGATCCACATAGTGGTGGTGCGCGGCAAAAACTGCCTTAAAAAACGCTCAGTTTTGAAACAACGGATGTCGAATACGGGCGGAATTTCGTATTCTGCCTCGACGTCTGATGAAAAAAAAAATGTATTAATCCGAACAACTCCTCTGAACACTCTCCATGGTAAATGCGGTAGAAGATGCAGAATGAGCCCATCTCTACGCAACGCATGTGTAATGTTTGAGAGGAAAAATGTCATGTTAAGAACAGTTGTGATGTCAAAACTTATGATCTAACTCTCCCGTTTGGGCACCTGCCTTTAATGATCTCATCACCTTCCCCTTAGTGGCACAGCAGTGTTCTGTAACGCTTTAAATACATACTTAATTACATGTAGATCACGAGGTCTCAAGGTCCCGGCAAATTACGTTTTTTTTTTTGAAGTTTTATAAGTGAAACAATTAGATAAAAATGAAGACGGAAGCTAATCAAAACACGATAAAATTGTAAAACAATAATTTTACATATAATTGATACGTGATAAGCGTAATTGATAAGATTAAAAATGGCGGACAGTTTATCAACAGTTGCTTTGATTTGAGAACTGTAATAACTCTATAAAACACTAATTCGGCCCCACATGAGCGGGCATTTCACTGGGCCGGAGCTTTCCAATCTCCATAAAAGCTTCCTCAGAAGTAATTCTCTCCATAAAACCTTCTTCAGCCTTCTTGCCAAGGTCCATCAATGATGAATCGCTGTAGAGAGCCGTGTCTTCAACGGCTGGTCGCATGGCGTGTCCCACTTCAGGCGATTCCTGGTGCTTCCTTGGGACTTTAGTGGGTACCGTAGCGTGTCCCTCAGCGCCTTTTTTAATTAATTTCCTCTTGCAGTGAAGTTACTTATACTGGGCCTCGTAGGCCTGGCCTACGCTCGGCCGCAGCTGGACTGTCCATCTGATGGCAGACAGTACCTGTTGGCCCATGAATCAGATTGCGCCAAATACTACGTGTGTCAGAATGGAGAAAAACTCGCGACATCACAGTGTCCCGTCGACACATATTTCTCACTGGAAAATCAGGTATGAAGCTCACCTTCAAGAAAAGATCGTACTAATTCTTAAAAGACCGGCAATGCATTTGCCAGCCCGATGGCATTGAGCTTCATGTACATCACTTAACATCAGGTATGCCTCTTGACCGTTTGCCCCCTGCACTATAAAAAAAAGGCCGACAAGGCACTTGCGACTCCTCTGGTACTGTGAGTGTCTATAAGCGGCGGTATCACCTAACATCCGATGAGTCTCCTGGCCATTTGCCCCCTGTACTAAAAAAAGGCCGGCAACGCACTTGTGAGTGTCAACATCTGTATATATTTTCAGATATGCGAACAGCGCAGTCGGGTTTCTTGTGGGCAAAGGGCGCTGACATCTTCAATACAAATAAATTGTCCATCATTTTACTTCGGTGACTTTTTCATTCCGCACGAATCTGATTGTTCGATGTATTACAAGTGCGAATCGGGTAGACCCGTGCTGAAGTCATGTGAACATGGAGGGCATTTTAATCCTTCCGCTTGGGTAAGTTTAAATATTCACACAAAAATCTGGCATCTTTTATTATGAACAGTAAATCCGTCATCCCCTTTCAAACAACGCTTATCTGGAAGCACGCTGGAGTTTCACCCCTTCCGTTGACATCCCATACCGCTGCACGAGGAACTCCTTGCTTCTGCATCTGGAACTCCTTGCTTCTCCATCTTTCCTAGACAGTTTAATATGGCTTCATATTACCAGCGATTAAACAGACATCTTTCGGACAGGCCACATCTAACATCAGGTGGGATTGTGGCCAAATTACTGTCCAGGTCTAAAAATAAATACCTACTTTATTGACATACGAATGATGATGTTCCCTCACGATGTTATTCCTTCACGGTTCCAGAGAATGTTTAATGCGCACATAGAAAGAGATTCCATTGGTGCACAGCCGGAGATCGAACCTACGACCTCCTCTATATATGTCTAAATTATTGATTTCAGCGGTGCACCCTCCCAGAGTTAGCGGGCTGCCAAATCAAGAACGAAGCTGAGGTATCAGACCAAAACGACCAGAACCCAAACCAAGACCAAACAGACGATAATGATAACAAAACCTTCCCAAATGGTTGTCCCAGGGACTTTCGTAACGATAAATATTTCCCCCATCCAAAATGTAATATGTTCTACCAATGTGTACATGGAAGCTACGTTTCGATGCCATGCGCTCCTGGCACCGAGTTCAGCTATAGACTCCAGGTAATTGACACTTCTATAGTTTATTTAAATTATTATTATGTAGATAAACTCATTAGCAGCTGTTGCGCGTTTGCGAAAGCCTATTCCAGTCAGCTACTTGATTTCAGAGAAAGTTATTTAGTTTGAATTTGTTTTATATTGAGTCGTCTGCAGTTTTAAAGAACTTCTCCTGTGTGTTCTCACTCAAAATAAAGAACTTCTCAATTCCTAGAACGTTCTAATAAAATCAAATCAACATCATTTATTCATTTAAGTAACACAATGTACACTTATGAACATCAAAAAGAAAGAAAAGAAGAAACGAAAAGAACTGGCAATAAACTCTCCGCCACTCTTTTCAATCGCCAAGTTTGTTGTTTTACACAATGTTTATATGGACTGCAACCATTACACCAAGTTCTCCATGACATCTTATGTAATTAATAGTTATAATATAAAAAAATACTAAGTTTTGTCCTCTATCAGCAGTAGGCATGGTGAAATACACGTATTACAGTAAGGATTTTATAGGTTTAAATGAGAATACCTCTGTTCAGATTTCACACCAACAGCTCACAGAATAATGTGTGTGAATAGGTGTAAGCAATATTAAAGATATTGTTTTATGACAATAAAAGTGGCGAAGACTCAAACCAAGCTTTTAATTATCGTGGTGATGTCCGATAGCTTTGAGATAATCCCACCAGCTTCAACCTGTGAACCAGTAAGCTCTCTATTTATGTGTTCATCTGTAAGGCTTAGGCATCCGAGAGTTGTTAGATTCTTAGATCTCACCCTCTCATATATTTAGTTATGCAGCTTTCTGATACACACACTACATATATACAGAAACTTCTGACATTTCTAATTAAAACATAAACACACATTTAAAAGTCTACTAGACCTCAGACTGTTTGCTAGTTTCCCTTCGAAGTATTTTTGATAAGTTAGGTTACTTTTTGTACATTTATAAAACATCACATCTATTTTTATAACTCTTAGTCCGAAGACGATATTATTAAATTAAAACGTGAAATCATTTTACTAATCAAAAACACTTAACAAAAACTACTGAGGTGGTATTTTGGGTGCTGAATTGCCTTCAATTAATTTCAGGCAAATTTAAATTTATTGAAATTTCGCTTCGTATATTGTCTAAATATATTCTTTTACAATATGTATGTGCAGCTGTAAGGTTACTTATAAATAAAAAAGCTGAAGGACTTCTCAGGGTTTCTTCAAGGGTTGGAAGGGAACCTGCTTATATGAATCAGAAACCAATTTCATTACGTCTCCCAGTGCCTACTACTGCTAGTATTTTTTAGTATTTGAATGAATGAATTATAAAAAATAACTTACTTTACAGAAATGCACGTGGCCACACCAATCTGATTGTGCTAATGCTGGAGAGAACAATGGAGGTGATATAAATGGCGAAGACAGAGGTGGAAACGGAGGTAATGGTGGAAATGGTGGAAACGGAGGTAATGGTGGAAGCGGAGGTAATGGAGGCGGTGGAGGCAACGGTGGTAATGGAGGCGGTGGCGGCAATGGGGGAAACGGAGGCAATGGTGGAAACGGTGGTAATGGAGGCGGTGGTGGAAGCGGAGGTAATGGAGGCGGTGGAGGCAATGGTGGTAGCGGAGGCAATGGAGGCGGTGGAGGCAATGGTGGTAATGGAGGCGGTGGAGGCAATGGTGAAAACGGTGATAGTGAAGACGGTGGAGGCAATGGTGGAAACGGAGGAAATGGTGGAAATGGAGGTGATGGAGGCGATGTTGGAGATGGTGGAAACGGAGGTGACGGAGGCAATGGTGGAGATAGTGGAAACGGAGGTGATGGAGGTAATGGTGGAGATGGAGGTGACGGAGGCAATGGTGGAGATGGTGGAAACGCAGGTGACGGTGGTAACGGTGGAAACGGAGGTGAAGGCGGTAACGGTGGAGATGGAGGTGACGGCGGTAACGGTGGAGATGGGGGCGACAGCGGTAACGGTGGAGATGGAGGCAATGATGGAGATGGAGGCAATGGTGGAGATGGTGGAAACGGAGGTGACGGAGGCAATGGTGGAGATGGTGGAAACGGAGGTGATGGAGGCAATGGTGGAGATGGAGGCGACAGCGGTAACGGTGGAGATGAAGGCAATGGTGGAGATGGTGGAAACGGAGGTGATGGGGGCAATGGTGGAGATGGAGGCGACAGCGGTAACGGTGGAGATGGAGGCAATGGTGGAGATGGAGGCGACAGCGGTAACGGTGGAGATGGAGGCAATGGTGGAGATGGAGGCGACAGCGGTAACGGCGGAGATGGAGGCAATGGTGGAGATGGTGGAAACGGAGGTGACGGAGGCAATGGTGGAGATGGTGGAAACGGAGGTGATGGAGGCAATGGTGGAGATGGAGGCGACAGCGGTAACGGTGGAGATGAAGGCAATGGTGAAGATGGTGGAATCGGAGGTGATGGGGGCAATGGTGGAGATGGAGGCGACAGCGGTAATGGTGGAGATGGAGGCGACGGTGGTAACGGTGGAGATGGAGGCAATGGTGGAGATGGTGGAAACGGAGGTGATGGAGGCAATGGTGGAGATGGAGGCGACAGCGGTAACGGTGGAGATGGAGGCAATGGTGGAGATGGTGGAAACGGAGGTGATGGGGGCAATGGTGGAGATGGAGGCGACAGCGGTAATGGTGGAGATGGAGGCGACGGTGGTAACGGTGGAGATGGAGGCAATGGTGGAGATGGAGGCGACAGCGGTAACGGCGGAGATGGAGGCAATGGTGGAGATGGTGGAAACGGAGGTGATGGAGGCAATGGTGGAGATGGAGGCAATGGTGGAGATGGTGGAAACGGAGGTGAAGGCGACAGCGGTAACGGTGGAGATGGTGGAAACGGAGGTGACGGAGGCAATGGTGGAGATGGAGGCGACAGCGGTAACGGTGGAGATGGAGGCAATGGTGGAGATGGAGGTGACGGAGGCAATGGTGGAGATGGTGGAAACGCAGGTGACGGTGGTAACGGTGGAAACGGAGGTGAAGGCGGTAACGGTGGAGATGGAGGTGACGGCGGTAACGGTGGAGATGGGGGCGACAGCGGTAACGGTGGAGATGGAGGCAATGATGGAGATGGAGGCAATGGTGGAGATGGTGGAAACGGAGGTGACGGAGGCAATGGTGGAGATGGTGGAAACGGAGGTGATGGAGGCAATGGTGGAGATGGAGGCGACAGCGGTAACGGTGGAGATGGAGGCAATGGTGGAGATGGTGGAAACGGAGGTGATGGGGGCAATGGTGGAGATGGAGGCGACAGCGGTAATGGTGGAGATGGAGGCGACGGTGGTAACGGTGGAGATGGAGGCAATGGTGGAGATGGAGGCGACAGCGGTAACGGTGGAGATGGAGGCAATGGTGGAGATGGTGGAAACGGAGGTGACGGAGGCAATGGTGGAGATGGTGGAAACGGAGGTGATGGAGGCAATGGTGGAGATGGTGGAAACGGAGGTGATGGAGGCAATGGTGGAGATGGAGGCGACGGTGGTAACGGTGGAGATGGAGGCAATGGTGGAGATGGAGGCGACAGCGGTAACGGTGGAGATGGAGGCAATGGTGGAGATGGAGGCAATGGTGGAGATGGAGGCAATGGTGGAGATGGTGGAAACGGAGGTGACGGAGGCAATGGTGGAGATGGTGGAAACGGAGGTGATGGAGGCAATGGTGGAGATGGAAGCGACAGCGGTAATGGTGGAGATGGAGGCGACGGTGGTAACGGTGGAGATGGAGGCAATGGTGGAGATGGAGGCAATGGTGGAGATGGTGGAAACGGAGGTGATGGAGGCAATGGTGGAGATGGAAGCGACAGCGGTAATGGTGGAGATGGTGGAAACGGAGGTGATGGAGGCAATGGTGGAGATGGAAGCGATAGCGGTAATGGTGGAGATGGAGGCGACGGTGGTAACGGTGGAGATGGAGGCAATGGTGGAGATGGTGGAAACGGAGGTGATGGAGGCAATGGTGGAGATGGTGGAAATGGAGGTGACGGAGGCAATGGTGGAGATGGAGGCGACAGCGGTAACGGTGGAGATGGGGGCGACGGTGGTAACGGTGGAGATGGAGGCGACGGTGGTAACGGTGGAGATGGAGGCAATGGTGGAGATGGAAGCGACAGCGGTAATGGTGGAGATGGAGGCGACGGTGGTAACGGTGGAGATGGAGGCAATGGTGGAGATGGTGGAAACGGAGGTGACGGAGGCAATGGTGGAGATGGTGGAAACGGAGGTGATGGAGGCAATGGTGGAGATGGTGGCAATGGTGGAGATGGAGGCAATGGTGGGGATGGTGGAAACGGAGGTGACGGCGGTAACGGTGGAGATGGAGGCAACGGCGGAAATGGTGGAGATGGAGGTGATGGCGGTGACGGAGGGGATGGAGGCAATGGTGGAGATGGTGGTGGCGGCAGTGAAGCTAACAGATGCAAAGAGAACTGCTATGTACCGTTCTGGAAACACGAAACTGACTGTGACAAATTCTGGCGATGCGACAATAATGAAGTTGTTCTTGGAGTTTGTTCTGAAGGCCTTAGGTTTAATGAGGAAAAGCAGACCTGTGACTTCGCCTGCAACGTTGATTGCCAAAGGGCTGAAATTCAGTCCACTGCGGGCATTGATGGGCTAAGAGTTTTTCTTCCATGGAACACAGTTGACTCTCTTCTAGAAATCGCTAGAAATACTAAGAAAACCGACGACCAATATGAATATTAAATATATCGTATAAAACATTTAAATTGTTGTATTTCGTATTAAATCTTGTATTGAGTTATTATTTTGTTTTATTAATTTTAAAATATCTCAAGAAAAACTGGTGAAAAACCTTTTAGGTCTGGGCCCAGGTTATCTGTTCTCTCTTTCGTGATTCTTAAGTAGTATTTACCTTCTGTGCCTGACACACGCCGTCGGCATTTAGAGCCCAAGGGTCTGATAGATTTTGTAGCGAAATTCATAATTCAATTAGATAATATTGAATACATAAGATTAGAATAATCGAGCCAAGACTATATTTGTTCCTCACTTAGGTTCTGTTCGTTGCCTCGCGTTGTAAATCTTCGGAGTTACAACCCAAGAAGAGAGCACCACAGGTACTCTCTTATTAGCATAGCAATTATCTCTTCGGCATCTTCTACCGCATTTACCATAGATATTGTTCAAAGGAGTTCTTCGAATTAATACCTTTGCAGCTGAGTTACATCATCGGACGTCGAGGCAGAATACAAAATTCCACCCGTATCACCTCGACGTCCCTTCCACAACTAAGCGCTTTTATGGCAGTTTTTGCCACGCACCACCACTCTGTGGAACCAGTTGCCCACTGAAGTATTTCCGAATATCAATTAATTATATTTATTTTATTTAGTTAATAATTATTAAGCATTTAATTATATACCATCTGTATTCGCGACTAAACAAATGTTGTCTAAAAAAATCCGAAAATAAAAATCCTTTAAAATGGAATCTTTGAAATTATTGAAAGCGACGGCTTATATCTTTTAAGAACTCCATAAACTTTTTTATATTTTTTTTGAATACTCAATAACCTGATTTTATATTGATTCAACATCACTACAACTTCGTCCTTCAGCTTTGATCAAATTTGGTTTCCGGACAATTATCACCGCTGCCAGAAGCTGACGTGACGACTAACGTTTCTATTGTATTAGTATTAAGATACTCTAAGAATAGAAAATCAAATGTAACTGATATAACAATAAATATTCTTAATAATCAATCATTATTTAAACTTTAAGCAGTTTTCTCGGGAACCAGAGCGCGCGTGTGTGGAATTGCGCATATTTTGCATCAGACGTTATTTTATTATTTTATTACATCGCTACCCCTTTCGCGCTTCTGTTGGCAGGTGAGATTATAATTAACACTGTCAGTACTGTCAGTTTAAGCACAGTGCGCGACCTGGGTGATTCGTTTGTCTCTGATCTCTCATTTGCGGAGCATATTCGGACCATTACAGATGCGGCGTTTAGGTTAGGTTTAGTTTTGCGGAATTCAGCTGGTCTTTCGAACACTGCCGCTAGGTTGCTATATACGTCATTAGTAAGATCAATTCTCGAAATTAGTGGCTTCAGCGTGCGACTCTCATACCTGAGGGGGAGAACCACCGCTGTGCACCAATGGACTTTTAATTTCTAACATTCGCTCGTACGAAGGAAAACATCGTGATGAATCGTTGAATGCTTTAGACCCAACACGACAGCGTGTGTCAGGCACAGCTGATTACCTACTTGGCTATAAGACAAATGATTATGAAACAGATACCCATCTGAGGCTCTGACCTTAAAAGGTTGTAGCGGCACTGATTTATTTTTTACCACTAAAAACACTTTTTCAGTCAAATTCTTAAGTTATTTATATACCGAACAATTACCTTCAAAAGAGCGTAACTTAAAGGCTGTCAACGCACTTGTAATACTGTATGTACACTTTACTCATGAATTATGATTCAATTGTTTAATAATTGGCAACAGATGGCGCTATATCAAATTATTAAACGTTACACATTACCGTGATGGCATAGAGTCCAAAAAACACCGAAATAGAACAGTTGGTAGCCCAGTGAAGGAGGAGCGGAGTACTTGCTGCAGCTGAAAGCCAGCAATTGGCGGGAGGTAGGACAGGGCAGGGAGTGCTGGAAAAGATGCTCATTTCGGAGGCCAGGACACTTTTTGGGTAGCAGAGGCAGCGGAGAATGTAAAAACTCTTTTGTAAAATACGGCAAACGAGCTTACGAGACGCCCAGTTTTGTCGATGCGTTGACGGCCTTTGAGGGAGGAGCACATTCTTATTTTGAACAGTTGGAGGTCGTATATATAGGAAAGATCACCGGGAGTCGATTCCACAGTTCGCTGGTTGAAGAGGAAGTGTATTGTGAAGCGGACTGTGGAAGACTTCCAGCCATCAAGGTGATGCTGATAAATAAAATGACAATTTTCGTGTGAACAGGTAAAAATATAACATATATTTAAAGTATAATCAATCATCATCTTCATCATCATCAATATTCTTCATCTTCTCTGCTATTTCCTTCGCTGGATTAAAAACTCCCCCAGTTTGGGCGTTACATATAAAACACCTTTGGGACTTCTTGTATTGTTGCAACGCGCACTTTTCGCAAAAATAATGTTTACATCTGAAACAAAAAGTGCGTTTAGAATATTTCATCGCCCATGGGCAGTTATGGCTTACTATATAATAAATTTTTAACCAGCTACTTGGTATTGCCAGGGCCCAGCCCCCAGTAGAGATCCGAACAGAAAAAAGTGAGGGTATAAGGCATAAGCAAACAAGTCTGCAGGGGATGTATGAGAATTTTCCTCCTGCATTTCAGTATGGTCGAGAGATGATGTTCAGGAAATGGAAGCGAATAGGTGAGAAATGAGAATATATGGAGGAAGGAAGGTATACTGATTAGGGATGTGAAAAAATAATCGATTATTAAAAAATCGATTTTTTTACGCGATTTTTATATTTAAAATAATCGATTATTAATTATATATATTTTTATAATTGAAAATCAATCATAATCGATTTTTTATCTGCCACCTCCCGACATTGTGTCTGGTCTTTTATAACCCGGACCTCGAACTATTAGGGATATTCGATACACAACGATGTTTACAATGCGATACATTAAATCGGATTCTTTGAAGATGTATTGATATACTTGATACATTGATGTTTTTTTGTAAAACATCAAAAGGATGATAAAAGCAGTTAATTTTACAAAAACTCAAGTTTGAATGGAACACTATAATTTAAAAGTAAAATAAATTTATTCAGCAGCACAAGACTACATACAATTAAAAAGACAACAAAAATACTGCAATGTGCTACTGAAAAGGATTACACTCAGAATTTATCAAAATCTATCAAATTTCAAAACGAGATTAAGTTAATTTCGATTTTGATTATTCTTAAACGTTAATTTGTGTTTATAATTTCTATTGTTTATTTATAATTTAAAAAACCATGAAAAATAAAATATATAGGGTGTTTATTTTGAAATTAATTCAAAAATTAGGAAAAAATCGATTTTTTATGCAGAATGTAACATTCCCTAATACTGATCCTCCAACCAGAGGAAACATCCTCGACCAGTCTATCCACTGACTGTGCTGAAATGTCTGGAAGTATATATGCTCAGCTGGAAATGTTTCGATAGCGCGTTTAAGGTGTGACGTCATCGTACCGACATAGAGGAAGGAAGGTTTCCTGATCCTCCAACCAGAAGAGAGGATCCACGACCAGTCTAACCACTGACTGTGCTGCAATGTCTAGAAGTGAAGGTGTGACGTCATCGCTAAAAGGGAGTTTAAACTCACCTAGTAACGACTGGGTCCTTAAAGCTTTCCCTACAAATGAAACACTTAAACGGCAGTTCCTCATCACTGTGTATCTCATAGTCCGAATCTTCTTTCGTCTCCAGATCCTCTCTCTCCAGTTGCCAACCGTGTTTATAATCAGATCTGTCGTGGAGGAATTTACAGGAATCTGTAATGACAAAATTTTTTTTTACAAAAACCCGTACCGTTTTTTATAGAACCCATGGACACTTAATAACAAAGGGCTCGCGGGTGCGTAGCCCGCCTTTTTTTATAGAACGGGGCAAACGGTCAAGAGGTTCACCTGATATTAAGTGATAAGGCCGCCCATAAACACACTACACCAGAGGGCTCGCAAGTGCGTCGCCGGCCTTTAAGTTACGTTCATTTCAAGGTATATAAATAACTTATACACAGTTATAATAAATATTTACAATTTGACTGAAAAATAAGGTGTTTTTATATTTACCTCCAAAACCACAAAATCCCGTCTCTTTATAATCTTTACATATATCAGGTTGATAGTCCCACCTGAAAAAAATATGAAAAATCTTGTTAATTATCAAATAAAAAATAAAATTTAGTTGATTATCAAAAAGAATTTGAAAATGTTGGTAATATTTAAAGAAATGTAATTCACAAAAACACAATGAATTAACAAAACTCTAGATTGGGCGATAATTTAATTAATCCAAAAAATCCCATAATTAAAATTTTTAATATCAAAAATAACAGCTCTGGATACAATTATACCTCAGTCTCTATTGAAAATCAGGAGTCATACTTAGCTAAGTCTCAACTCTGAGTCTTACCTAACTGTAGCTCTTAAGTTAGCAGGTGCTCGTATTGGACCTTTCCTCACAAAACCCGAACTAGCATTACCCGCTGCTGTATCTCGCTTTTTGTAGTATTGGGCATAATTATTTATACCACGGTATAGCTGGAATATTTAATATTGACATTAATACAGCATGTTATATCTAGAATGTAAAATATTATCATTAAAAGTTGTTCAGATTTAATTTGAACATTGACCAACTGCTGACACGGCTCACCTGGCTGTACCATAGCTTAATAGAAGATACACTGACAACTCATAAGAATATATGTAAATAGGTGTAAGCCGTATTTAAGATGTCTAATAACTCTTATCTTATAAATCAGATTTGAATTTTGCTCATATTCAACTCCTTCAAGAGCCTATGGTGACACCTGATAGCTTTGAGAAAATCCCACCGCCCTGAACCTCTGATCCTACCAGGACTCTGTCTGTTACCTTAGGTCTCGTGGTGCTATCCACTTATGTGTTAGGGTACATCTGTATTGCTTCAGGATCTGTAGGGTTTTTAGGTTCATAGATCTCACCCTCTCATATATTTAGTTATCAAGTGCAGCTAATACATACACTACATATATACAGATACCTGACATATATTACATATAAATTTAAACACACATTTCACAATTTTAGTTCCTAATTATACTAACACAAGTGGTCTTTTACTTTCTTTTTGGTTTTGAAATGGTTGGAGGGAAAACATAATGAGGGTATCAACATGGTTTAGATTAAAATAGATATAAATATATAAATAACAGACTGGAGCATTATAATTCATAGCTGATATATTAATATTATGTTTGACATACCAAAATATACCTAGTATAAATGTATAACTACCTTGTCATCGGCCTGTCCTTCCAACTCCTCATTTATCTTTTGTGCCTTTTCAAATATTGCTTGAGCATCTTTATCTCTCTCTGTATCAAGTTCATATGTTGCTGTGGCATTTTCTCTTTGTTGTACTACTGACAATGTTGTTGTTTTTGGCTGAAACATATTGAAACATATATTATATATAGTAGAGAGAATTAAGAAAATGAACTGGACCTAGTGGAAAGATGTTTTACAAGAAATTCAAGAGAATATTGCTTCTTTGAGAACTGGCAGTTTACTGACATTCACAAGTGTACATTGTGACGTATATGCATAAATATTATTTTTATTATAATATTTAATTCCTTGTCATGATAAGCACATTGGTTTGAATAGGATAGTTATAGTGAAATTAGCAAGACATTTTTGCTTGAATTGTAAAAATGTCATAACAGATATAAATTTAAATAGAAAATTTTAATGTGTAGAAATCCTAAAACAATATACCTTATCGTCCTCGCTACTATCACTTTTTTCAATAACAACTTTCTGTTTTTTCTCACCAGTTTTTTGAATATTTGGGTTTATCTTCTGGGGTCTTTTCGAAGGCAACACTACAGTGTGTTCGTCTGAATCCGAGCCATTTTTCTCTGAAATAAATGTTAATGATGCAATAAAATTTATTTAAAAAAACCTGTTTTAGTTGACAAAAAGAATTACACTATTAACAAAACTGTAAACATAAGTATGTGTGTGCAGACGTTTTATTAAAAAATGAGACAAGAACTTGTTTAATAGTCAGTGACACAGGTTAGATTTATTGAATAAAAATCCGGTTCGCAATAGTGATGCCAACTGATGGGGGTTATGCCCCCAAATTCAGGAGGAATATAGATGTCCAGGTTTTTTAGGGGGTACTTTATTTTGTTTCTTAAAAAGAAGCATGATTAATTACAATTTATATTAACCCTAAAACCCAACCAACAAACTAACCAAAAATAAACTTCAAGCATGGCTATAACTGGAATACCAAACAGCTATAATCGAAATAATCTATATAATCTGATATAATCAATCGAAATAACAGCTATTTTATACTTCTTGAATTTATTTTTATTGCATATTTGAATTTACCTCTCAAAACGGTAGGGTTTTAAATCCATATTTAGAGGTGTTTGAAGTTAGTCCTAAGGGGAACATTCTGTAGGAGTTGGCATTACTCAAAGGATAGTACATCGAAACCAATGTTCGTTTCAATATGTATAGCGCGCGTAATGAATACTTGTATTATCGCACTTACAATATTTTGATATTGTTTTTTGAGAAACATAACCTCGTTAACTAAAACCAATTACAAAGTATACGTCATTTAAACAAATACACGTTGAAGTTAATCCATAACAAAATTGATATCACTTTAAACGGTTTTTTTTAATGTCTAGTAAAAATCGATTTTTTTTTTGCTAAAAACTTTAGTACCTAACCGAGGTAGGAGAAACGCCTGGCAGCATAAGTGTTTAGTGGTTTAAATTAACAAGTACAGATATAAGTAGGTCAAAGTGGCGAAAATTACTTTACAAAAGTTAACGGTACCTTCTGAGCTTGAAGTTTTTCGTTTTCGCCCGCCTCTGTTTTTCAATTTACGTTTTTTGAAAGTTGTCGGGATTTCTACTTCGGCATCCGACATGACGAATAAGCTGGGTGAGTCTATATTTATTTTAAATAATTATACCTAATTTTATGTTTTGATAATATACTTGAAAGCAACAATTAATTATTGTTGAATAAGAAAAAAAATTGTTGTTCTGAATTGTTTAGATTTTTTTACAAATTTATGATAGTAACAATTGACATAAGTTATGACGTGAAAAATGACTATCAGCTTAATATTTGACAACAACTAACATCACACAGACTATCAAACCATAACATAATAATTATTTTAACTATAAATTCGAAAATTAGGAAACTTTAATAAAGACAAGTATATTTTATATACTTTGCAGATAGTAACAGATATTATAAATCAGACAGCCTGGTCTATGTCCTAATAAGGATTAAAAAACAATTGTGTTCTAGGCCATCTACCAAATTACTTTATACCTGTGAAGTAGCTTTTTTGCGTTTATTGTGAACACTTTAAAAGAAATTTCAGTATTTTCTATAATAAATAATTTGTGCTTTTATACCGAGATTATAAAAAAATAATAGGTACCATTAAGATGCTCTAATAATTGTGTAAGACTATTACAATTGTGTTTAACGTCATCTAACAAATTATATCATAATTATTAAGCCTACAATTATGAACGCTGATTGTTTTTTCATTTATTTTTCTGTTTAATTATATATTTTATATATAGCAAATAAATTGAGCTTTTGTCGAACGATTATAATTAACTATTGCCTTAAAATGTTCTACAGGTGATAAAACATTGACAATTGTATGTAGCGCCATCTAACAAATTATATTATAACTACTAAGTCTACATGTCGGCACAGGCTACATTTATGCTAGGATATAGAAAGAAGACTTTACTCGAACTTATAAAAATCACCACTAGATAGAAAAACGGTGATTAACTGTATCAATACCAAACACGATAATAAATTTAATGATATTAAATAATTATTAATAGTAATAATTAGTAATTATCATAATAATATAATCATTATATTTGAATATCGATTATTACTAAGATTAAACTTTCTAATCTACATACAAACAATTTTATCCATACTAATATTATCAAATTGAGGCAATCAAAATAAAAATAAAAAACAGGTAGTAACTGTTTTTAAAAATGATTTAAATAGTCTAGTCGATGAAGGTTTCATTACGCATCGACAAATTTATAGCGGACTATGAAAATATCGCGAAAACGGGAGATTTCTTTAGCCGACTTGAAAAAACGTGTGTTTTGCTTTGTATGTTTAAGGAGTTTTGGCCTAGTGGCCTCTCATCCCTGACCCTCTATGTGCGCACTTAACACTTGCTCGTACGAAAGCAAACATCGTGAGGAATCTTTTGACATGTGTCAGATAGAAGGCTGAACAATTAGACGAAGAGAAGAATGAACATTCTCTGTGGGCAAACACGTCGAAATAGTTAGTTTTTATGTACCTAAATATTTCTATCTATTTCTGTGCCATGTTGTGTTTTTCTATGTGTTTTCTATGTTTTTCTATGTCATATTATAATATGTGATTAATGTAAATAGTTTATTGGAGTAATCTGTAATGGTAGCTTATATCGTTAAATAAATAAATAAAATAAAATCTTATGGAGCCGTAGGAAGGAAAATATCGTCAGAAACTGGCCATAGACCCACCTGTATTAGGCACGAAAAGCCGATCACCTATTAGAGATTAATAAATGTTTAGATTTCACTCGTAAAAAGGCACCAGGTTACGACCTGATAACTAAAGAAGTATTGATGGAACTACCGAGAAAGGCTATGATCTTCATCACTATACTCTTCAATGATATGTTACGAATAGGCTACTTCCCAGTTGCGTGGAAAATCTCAGAAATCATCATGATTTATAAGGCTGGCAAACTGATGACCGAAAAAACATCCTACCGACCAATCAGTCTGTTGCCTACTCTTTCCAAGGTATTGGAAAAGACAATACTTCGTAGAATTGTGCCAAGCCTTGTGGAGCACAAAGTAATACCAGATCATCAATTCGGCTTCAGACAATACCATGGCACAGTGGAACAAGCTCACAGAGTATGTGACGCCATAAGAAAGTCCTTAGAACAAAGGGAATACTGCTCATCAGCATTTCTGGATATCCAACAAGCATTTGACAAGGTCTGGCACAAAGGCCTACTATGTAAGATCAAGCAGAATATTTCCCACTCTTACTTTCCAATTTCAAAACATTGATGCCGGGGTACCACAAGGATCTGTTCTCGGCCCCATGCTCTACACGTTGTACACTGCTGACCTACCGCTATTGCCAGGAATAACCACAGCAACATTTGCAAACGACACCGCTATATTAGCAAGCAATAAAGACCCAGGACTTGCATCAGAGGACTTGCAGAAAGGCCTTGACAAAGTTAACGAATGGCTGCAAGAATGGAAAATAAAAGCTAGTGCCGCAAAGTCAGTACACGTGACCTTCACCCTTAGAAGAGGAGACTGCCCACCTGTAAAGTTGGACCAATGTATTCTGCCCCACAGCGACCATGTAAGATATCTTGGCTTACACATTGATCGTGGATTAACGTGGAGGCACCACATCAAATGTAAAAAGCAGGAGCTACAGCTAAAGTACAACAGCCTTTACTGGATGCTAGGAAGAAACTCAAGACTTTCTCTAGATAACAAACTTCTTATATATAAAGTCATCCTTAAGCCCATTTGGACATATGGCCTCCAACTATGGGGCAGCGCAAGTGATACCAACATAAATATACTCCAGCGACAACAGAACAAGATCCTAAGAGCAGTTGCAAAAGTACCCTGGTACATAACCAACAACGAAGTTCACGAGCACCTTAAAATGAGAACTATCAAAGAGGAAATCCGGAGACTGGCAGCTGTCACCCGAATGAACTTGCTCGCCAACTCACCATTAGACAGTATGTGAGTCGACTAAAACGTCACCATATTATAGAGCTAGAAGACCGGCAGTAGCTCTAGACAGAAGATGAGTAGATGCTTCCAATGGGAAGTCACTCCACATGACAGCACCACAGAAAAAATTTGCTCATAGCCTTGGGGCTGATTGCAAATAACCGCAGAGAAAAAAAAAAAAAGATTTCACTCGAACATTGACCAGCTGACATGGCTGTTCCAAATAACAGCTGAAGGTGCACACTAACAGTTCACAAGAATTATATTACGTATTTCGTTTCCTCTCAAAGTGGAGACATGCCCTTCATCGTGAGCCCGATAGCTTTGAAATCCCACCACCTTGAAGCTCTGATCAGGAATCTGTCTGTTGCCTTAGGTCTCTTGGTCCTATCTACTATTGTGTTAGGGTACATCTGTAGGGCTTAGAGTAGAGTTGTTCTCATATATTTCGTTATCTAGTACATAAACTACATATATACAGATTCTGCTATGTGTTTAAGTGTAAAAGTATCTGAAAAGGCTATTATTATTATGACTGTATTAACAATTAATACAATAATACAATTATTATTTTATTCGAAAAGAAGTCCGTTATCTTTGAGTGAGCGACTTCACTCAATTGATAAACACTTCAAATTATAGAGAGTAGGGAAGCCCGGACTTCAAATTATTGATATTATATTATATACTTTAGTTAATAATTAGAAGCGCAAACCAAATAGCAATCATCGCACACTCGAAGCCAAAATGAGCCCTTCAGTTTTTCCCACACTTATAAATTGTATTCTAACATTTTTTGTTTCCAAGATACAATAGGTCGACTACACTTGTATTCTTTGGGTTCTTAAATCTAAGAAACAGAAGTGTCACTTAGATTCAAGAACCCATAAATAGGTTACAGTTGTTAGTCTAGCAACCCCACTACCTCTAATTTTATATTAGTTATAAGCCCTTGTTTTGAACATCCCTCCAACAACCGCTTTCGGACTTAACTCTCGCAAGATACTGTACAACTTCAAATTGCAGACCAATTATAATATTATTCAGACTACAATATTATACTACCAAAAATACTGGCTGATTTTATTCAAATTATCCAAAGCCAAATTCATTTATTCATATAGGTAACACAATGTACATTGTACACTTATGAACGTCAAAAAAAAATATATAATATGATGTGCTTCTAATTTTACATTTACTGCCAGTTCTCAAATCTAGGACATAGAACGGAAGAAAAGAACTGGCAATAATGACCAGGGTTCCAGAGATGACAGTGGTTAAAAACAGCTACAGACAAATATTGACACAGCCACAGATAAGGAGAAAATAAATCAAGATATGATGATTTTTGCAGAGTTGAGTCAATATTTGGATAAATTGCTTTACAAAAATAGAATCGTCTCCAAGCACTAAAACTTGTTTTCTTGGAAATTTTTCAATGATTGGTTGTATTATTAAGTTGTCGGAAGTTGTATTCGAAAACTGGTGTTTCAAACAGTTCCATGTATTAATAGATGACAGCACACGTTTTTTAAACTATCCTAAAAGGCGGTGTTATTTAATTACTATCCTGTAGGATCAAAAGTCTATCGGCGTCCTTCAATCTAGAACAGGGCAAGGTGTGAAAATACCTATATCGTTGCGGAAAGACAGAGCAATATACTACAGTTCTATAGAAGACATATTTTATCATATTCAGTCTTGCTAAGCCGGGACTGAGCGCTGGTTGATAATAGTATTTTGTTATTTAAGTATAATATGATAACAATTCTAGAGAGATAAAAAATCAATTGTAATTAATATTTATCGATTTATGCGTTGCTAATGTTCGCGTGATCGGTTGCGATAGTCGCGACATTCCAATTATGTATTTCATGCTCCTTCATCGATCAAGCCTCTTCCTTCTGGGGGATTTAGGACCTTAAGTCAGTCTTCATCTAGTTTTGGGCTAACCGGGAAATTATGCAGCTGGAATTCTAGCTTTTTCGCTAATCAGAGCATCAAGGTCGTCATCGACGGAACAAGGCTGTGCTTATTTTGCATCATCGATATGATATGTTGCAACATTCATTGCTATGTGGACGACAGCACTGGG